ACCCAAGGAGCTAATAATACTATAAGTATTATGTAGCTCTTGATGCTTACAATCGCTCATCCGCGGAGGTATTATGCACTCTCCTGGCGGGTGTCCCTCTAGTCTAGTCATTTCAACCAGTATTTGTCACACGGACGCCGGCTGGAGGTGTAACCAGGCTGGTGAAGTGACACCTGACGCGGGTACGATGTCTAACTGACCGTGTACTTCTACCTATCTGTCTGTCTGGCCGTCTATCTATTTATCTATCGATTAATTTTTAATTTAATAAAAATGTTGCATCTGTGTGGATCTCGCTTGCATCATGTGTTGTGTGTGTGGGTGTGGGTGTGTGTGTGTGCGCGTGGTGCGTGACGTGCGTGCGTGCGTGTGCTGTGTGTGTGTGGTGTGAGGTGTGATTGTGGTGTGTGAGTGTGGTGTGTGTGTGTGTGTGTGTGTGTGTGTGTGGGTGTGTGTGTGCTGTGTGGCAGATGGGGTCGTTGTCGTATCAGGTACTACAGATATGTACCGATGGTTAGTTTTGGTGTGAATATAGCATCTTCTACTGTCTTTTAGTATTATGTTTATATTCATTTATAGAGGTATAACCGTTTTAGGCGTTAGCCTGTGTTAGGGTGTTACATGGTAGGATACAAGAGTACAGCATGTGAGAACCCACGGATTAGGGATTGCTGCCCGTTAGGCTGTATTACACTGTGTGATATACATATATGTAAGCTCGGGTTAGATATCTGTAGTACCTGATACGGACCAACGACCCTTCAGTGTGGTGTGTGTGTGTGCGTGTGTGTGTGTGTGTGTGTGTGTGCTGTGTGTGTGTGTGTGTTGCAGTGCGTGCGTGCGTGCGTGGCTGCGTGCGTGTGGTCGTGAACGTCTTCAATCTGACAAGATATATAGAATAGATGAAAATCATAACTGCTAGTTGGCACTTGCGTCGTTTTGTGAAACGGGCAAACGCATCAGAGCTGAACATTCCCCTTTCCCCACAAGACGTTCACACCACACACACACACACACACACACCGCACACACACACACACACACACACCACACACACACACATCACGCTGCGCACGCCACCACGCACGCACACACACACATGATATATACTGTTTATTGTATGTGCTTCAATATACATAAATTACAGAACATAGCTAGGACATGTGTTTTTATGTATCTAGCATTTTAGAAAGGTAACTCAATTCGTTCTGCGAGATATTAGTCCTATGACGATACCGCGGGTTATATTAAGCCTATGCGACTACACCGCGCGTACGTATATTCTGGTCATTAATCTAACTATTCGGTGCTTCAATAAACTCAATTATACCAGAACCATAAGCTAAGGACATGCTGTTAATTGTATCTAGAAATTTTAGAAAATCGGTAACTCTACGATCCGGGTCGACGAGATATTAGGTTGCGGGCGTGGGAAACATCTTCACGAGTTAGCCGCGCGGACCGAGCTGACGATCTCGACGCGTCAAACGCTCTCACGAACCGGCCTCACCGATCTCCCAGACGCGTCAACTCGGGTCAACTGCGAACGACGTTGGAGGTCACAGGAACGTTAGCTCATTATTCAGCAGAGTATGGGGGGGAGGGTGTTATTCAGCCGGACTACGAGAATCGATTTGCATAATATGTCTAGATATATTCCAGATATTAGCGTTTTTTCAACTTTCCCACAGAAGCATGATATAGGTACTCGATGTTATCACGTACGCGTGTTGCATTGTTATATACGGGTTGCACAATAATAAATCGTTGGACCGGCAAGTGACGAGTGCAGTGGAGTCACTACTGCTGTGCACAACGACAGAGACGTACGTATTTGATTGTTTATTATATGTAATCAAATATAATGCAAACTAATACAGATACAATCTTGTGTTAAGTAACAGCGTAAAAGTTAGGGAAAACATACTTGGTTCGGTGATCTGTGTAAGTCTGCTGCCTTTGTGTCCTGGTAAAAGCATACCAGTTAAAACGATATGCCAATTTGGTTAAAATAATAACACATTCATGACACTGTAGATTGATCATGGTAAGAGCTTCGCCGAAGTGGGATCTGAGCATAAGAAGAACGACATTGACGGTTTTAAAGCAGCCAATGCTATCTGCTAATTTGCGCGAATCATTTTGAGGCATCTCAATTTAATGGTGTCCAGCTGACAAGGGTTTAAAATACTGCGCTGCTTTGAATGTTGATATGCTGTACTATTTAAAAAATATAACTAATTAGTTAGTATTGGGAAATTAGTAAATACATTGCTTTCTCTTGCTTCTCGGTTCGTGTGACTCATGTGTGTTATACATGTACAGGCTTGTTCATGAAAAAACTATAATAACAAAGAAATACGGTGTGAAATAGTTCATGCTGAGGCACTGAAGTATATCCGGGCGGATCCAGCGATTGTTTGAAAGCAGGGTGTCCATGCAGGAAGAAATAAAGGGCCTTTTTCCTGGCTCATTTTTCTGGTGTTTTAAAGCTGCCGAAGGGCCACTTTGGCTGTTTTTTTTTTTTTTAATTTAAAAATTGCGTGCATTCTGAGGCATCTGAGCAGATAATTTGATGATCTAGATGCAAAAATTTTCAGATCGGTCCCCCGGACGCCTGCGGACCTCCTCTTTGCCCCATTTCTAGGAATTTGTTATGACGAATTTTACATATATATAACTAAATCTTTATCAGAAAACTAGCGACTAAACAGATTTGGTTATGGAGACAATATAAGAGTCGTGTTGTTGTGTGTCGTGTGTGATTGTGTGTGTGTGTTTGGGTGTGTGTGTGTGTGGTGTTGTGTGTGTGTGTGTGTGTGTGTGCGTGCAGTCGGTTGCGTACGGGCGGGCGTGCGCTGGTGTGGTATGCTTATTTTTCATTTTTTTGTCAGGTAAAAAGGGGGGGGGATCCGGACCCCTCGACCCCCCTCTGGATTCGCCCCTGTATATCATTATTGCTCTATGGGCATATAAAACTAAACAACACTACTTGTGAATTTTTGTAATAAAAATTCAAACGTGGTCTTGTATTTTAACTTTATTTTCTTATAATTCCTTCACGATTCCCTTCCACCTTTATTAAACACAAGGGCATAAAAACACAAAAAAACCAGAGATCAAAAATTTAAAGCAGCTAAGAAAAGATATGCAGTTTCCATCTTAGATAGCGCTCAATAACCCTCCTGACTCGAAACCTAGAACAAGCAGATCGTAAGATGGCCTGAAGCTCCAGACTTGATTAAGCTTATTAGACAATGAATGTGCATTATGGCTATTTGATAAAAAAATATGAAATTCTTATATTCGTTTTATTATTATTATTGGTTGTAGAAAAAACAAACATCTCAAAATTCGGTCACAGGCTGAGGCATAACATTAAACTACAGAGTCCTGTAGCACACGATTACGTGTGCACATTACGCATTGTGATGTGGGGTATGTGTTATTGTGCATTAGTCTTGCGTATCGGTGTGGACAGGCGCGCAATCCGTTTTGAAATGTGTCCACATGCATTTGGTTTGTGATAAGCTAGCATTACGCAAAAGGGTGTCCACAGTGCAGCTCATAAAAAATCTAAGAAACAAAAAGCCAGAAAAGCCAATCATTTGGTGTTGAGGCTGATCACAAGAATTATATTGGTCTGTTATGTATTTTTGTCCGTCATATCATATTATGGCGTGTATATATATAATCAATTATGCAATGAAATTACATATTAAAACGGTGTCAGTTATCAGATGTTCCTCTTTGGTGAATATTAGCTGTAGTTCCAGGTTAATCCTTGCAATCGTGTTAATGTGAGTGATATCTCCTAACTTCATAAATACTTACTTTCTCTTAGATGGATTTCCATGCATAAGATTATCTATATATAAAAGCGAAAAAAACGTGTTAAAAAAGAAACGTACTAAATTTTACAGAGACACGATTTTTCTTAAGTTTGTGCACTGATCATATATTATGCTCTAAACTGACCTTGATAAATGAAAGCTTACAGGCGCAAATAGGGAAAGAATCAAAATCGTTGACGCCTTATCACACACAACTAAAAGTTTCACTTCAAACACCACATACACACCACACACACAACACACACCCACACAACACACACCACACACACCACAACAACAAAACACACACACACCACCACACCACACACACGCAAACGTTACACAAAACATAGGTGATCAAAATCGTGGGGGAGGACATTTGTATGATGTCCCCCTCCTGAAAATTGTAGGGCGGACATGTCCCCCCCACAGCTGGACCCACCTGGATTTGCGCCCCTGGGTGTGGATGATCGTTTTGCATGTAAAAATAAATGTACAGCCGTTTAATAGAGCAAAATCTACTTGAAGACTAACATTTGACCTTCTAGGTTCAGGAATGTATAATTAAACTCCAGTCCAAATATTAGAATTAACGATAGAGACGTTTTAAGGTTACAACGTTATACAGCCACGGTGTGTCACCACAGCCAGATTTTTAGTGTACCGCTTCATTCGCTAGGCGGCGCCACCATTCAAGTTGCGTCCAGTCTGTGTATCCCACTGATCTCTACTATACTAACATACTACTATACTATAGTTAGTATAGTACAGATCAGTTATGTATCCGTTAGTCTGTGGTAGTACCCGTAGTACCGTAGCGAGCGTCCAAATACCACGGTACACCCCTACAGTCGGTTACCCTACCTACCCTACCCACTGTGCCCCCAAACTGCATGCAGCGCCCCCTTCCCACACTCAGGATAATACTGAGTAGAATTGAGCCAAGGAGCTACATATAACAGTTATATGTAGCTCCTTATGTATGTTACATGTTACATGTAGCTCCTTACAGCTCTTAACAGCTCCTTACAGTTACATGTAGCTCCTTATGGAGTTATATGTAGCTCCTTGAATTGAGCCAGAGCGAGAGCGCCATCTGTCGTGGAGTTTGCTGTGCCCCCCTCTACTGGCACTGCCCTCTCGCGGCAATCTGATGTATTCATTTACAATAATAGTCAATATGGAAACCTCCAGTAATCAGAGTTGTTTTCCTGATGAAAATGTCAGTGCAAGTACATCTCAGAGTACCACTGGGTCGTGTAACATGTATGTACTAGCTTTATTTATATAGTGTACCTGTATTTTATAGCATTCATACGAACTAATGACATATTTCTTGGTATATATGAATAGGCAAGACTGCCTGGAGTGATGAAGACTGAAGTGAAGAAGTTCTAGTTCTAGTTCTAGTTCTTCACCCGTTAGGTGGTCAGAACTTCGGTTCAAGGATAGAGAACATGTATCCCAATAAAACCAATGTCATTTACATCAATATAAATATAATATTATATCAATATAATAGGTTAGGGTTATGGTTAGGGTTAGGATTAGGGTTAGGGTTAGGGTTAGGGTTAGGGTTAGAATTAGGGTTAGAATTAGGATTAGGGTTAGGGTTAGGCACATTGGTTTTATTGGGATACATGTTCTCTATCCTTGGGCCGAAGTTCTGACCACCTAACGGGCATGGACTAGAACTTCTTCACTTCAGTCTTCATCACTCCAGGCAGTCTTGCCTATTCATATCTACCAAGAAATATGTCATTAGTTCGTATAAATGCTATAAAATACAGGTACACTATAT